GTTAGTGTGTAGTGTGTGTGTGTGTGTGTGTGTGTGTGTGTGTGTGTGTGTGTGTGTGTGTGTGTGTGTGTGTGTGTGTGTGTGTGTGTGTGTGTGTGTGTGTGTGTGTGTGTGTGAGACTAACGATAAGATAAATAACATTTCAATATATACTAAAAAAGGATATTACAAAAAAATCTATTTTTGCTGTGTTCGGACAAAGTAAAATAGACATAATTTTTTACAATTTTCTTGTCGAAATGAAAAACCTCGAAAATTATAAGAAGTGATGTATCTATTTTACTTTCCCTAGGCACGGCAAAAACACATCTTTTCGTAACACCCCTCCCTTGTTGTTACATACATGTCGAAAAGTCTACGATGACAATTAGTACTAAATTCAATGTTTTAACGATATGGCAAATTGACGAGACGAGAAAGTCAGGCAAAACCGCGAATTAGGCAGCTGACAGGAGGCGTGCATTAGTGGCGTTGCATTAGAAAGCGGGAGTCGGTGCGGGCTTAATGCACGATTAATGACCACCGGGGTGTGTCGCGCAACCACGTCAAAAACGCGAATTTTCGTCACGACAATGACTCCGTTCGCTGCCTTTGTCCACCTCCACGTGCTGCATGTCGAGATAATAGTTGAAAACCGCAACCACTCGCAAATCAACGAAATTGGAAAAGGGCTGGGCGGGGGAGAGGGTAAAAGGAGACCGGGTTTGTTTCCACCCCGGTCTCGATTGCGGCGCGTACCGGCACGAGTCGGTCAACAAAAGGAGATAATGATGACGGCGGAAACGAAAAACTGGACAATAATGTCCGGTGGCGTAAGCGATACGCGGCAGAAAAGGGTGGCATTCGCATTTGCGTGTTCGTTAATTGTTACAGCGCGTTCGCCACGTTATTCGGAATGGTTGTGCGCGCTGCAATGACACGTAACGCCATTAAAAATAATGCCCACCTTGCTTTATAAATGCCAATTGCACACGATTGTTAATCGAGAAACTTATTTCCGACTGCTTTAGATTTCTTTTCCGAACAAAAAATAAAAATTACACTTTTACAGATACTACTATATAAAGAGATCAGAGATTTAAAGGATTTTGAAAATTTTTATAAATTATTGTTTTGTGTCTAATTACGGCATTTAGAATATGACGTATCAATTGATTAGGAGAGCACAATGATTAGAGATATCTTTATCGCACCATCTGCCGAAATGATAATGCTAACAAAAATGATAGTATTGTTCGGAGTAGGGATGCATTCGTTGTCTATATTAACTGTCGCACGGTCGACCGAGGAATTTTGTCCTTTCAAGAAGTAAAGTGAACCGATATTTTGTAATCATTATATATGATTGTCAATTTCGACTTTTCAAACTTTTTTCTTTATTTTATTTGTCAAGTAGTGTGTGTAAGTAGAATTATTCATAGAAGGTACGACGAAATAACGATTCGTATATGCTGATGAATTCTTAAATCGGAAAATAGTGGAAGTAAAATATGAAGAACTCATCTGTGGCAATATTAATTGGAATAGTAATCTTATTAATCGGAGCTGAAATTTTATTGATCTACAGTTAGGTAACTCCATTTTTAATACTTGAAGATAATAACTTCTATTTGATCGCTGACTAATGATTAATAATTTACCAATCAGTTTTCTATAAAAAAAAAATACATAATTAAATTTACAAAAAAACATTTTTTTCGCAAAAAGCAAAAATATAAAATAAATTCTTGTCTACTAGTTTGTACTGTCTTCGAGAAAAAAAGTTTCATGTGCGTATATATATACATAATGGCTTAACTGTGCAAATTTATTTTATATTTTTTTTTTATTTCATCAAAGATTATTTCTATGTTTTATGAATATCGATGAAATATTTATCCTAATAGTTGCATGCATAACCCAAGTAAATGAAGATATCAAATTTCAATATCAAGATAAATATGTTACTACGGTACAAACAACTGCTTTGCAAACAACAACAACTTCTGCTTTGCAAACAACAACAACTTCTATGAAGCATACAACAATTTCTACAAAGCCATCAATTCCTACAAAGCCTCCTACAGAACCGACGACGAAACCAAGCACAACGACCAGTACAACAACAACAACAACAACAACAAGTACATTATCGTCCGAAACACCTACAACAAGAACTACATCACTTCGACCCACTTCGACTTTTTCAACACCAATAATTCCCCCACCGTCAATGAATGCAACGACAACAACGGATCCATCACTCACGTCGTCCACAGAAATAACAAATACTACAACAAAAATAACAGAAACTCCTTCGACATCTCTTCCGCCGTTCGATACAGAAATTACTACTATACCCAAATTTAATTATATTCTTAGAAACAAGATTGGAATAGCGTGCATTCTGACTAACATGACGATTCAGATAAATCTGCTTTACGCAAATGATTCTCAGGTGAAGACGCACGTTTAGTCAGCAGTGACGTGTATGTATTTAATCAAAGTTATTTTATCAAATAACAAAATATAATTATGTTTTTAGATAGTCAAAACTAAATCGATTGTTCCGACGGATGCAAACACGACAGGTTTTTGCCATGAAAATATAGCTCACATGCATTTACATTGGAAAGAACCTCAAAATGAAGCGGGCAGTAATAATGAGAATGAAATCGTTTTCATTTACGGTCATGATGACATCGAGTTTTTTCTCTATTACATTTCTATACAACTGAATGGTAATAATTTCTCGTTATACCTTGCACATCAAATTGTACGTAAAAATTCTGCAAGTACTGTATACGACATATTTCTTTATCATTTAATCATTATTTTGATCTTTTATTATTTTGTTTAAATACATTATATAGATTTTTCATTCATATTTCATAGAGAAGAAAATAAAAAAAGACGCAATGCAGAGGCACATGCATTCATTTTCCGCTTCAATTAAATATGAAATATTTGTATGCAAAACAGGCATCACCATATACTTCGGGAATGCATTAAATGTTGTTATCTCTAATGTTTATCTAATTGCATTTAACGATTGTCGCGATAATTGCACGAGAAAAGGTATATAGTATAAATCTTACAATTTTACTAATCGTGATAGTGTCAAAGATATGCTTTTATAATCTGCTTTCAAGATATTTTAATTATGACAAAAAAATATTGTTTCAGAGAAAAATTGTATTGCTGAAACAAATAATCTAACTGGTGCAATCGTTGGTATACTAATTATTGGAATCATTATAATTTTGATATTAGTCGTTTTATGTCTGATGTGGCGTGCAAGAAAGAGCGATATCAGTTCAGAAGCTCAAGTTTCTTCAGAAGCTGAAGTTCAAGAGCTGCCTGACCCTGGCAGCTCTTGTCACAGAAAAATAATTATAAGAAAATGGCATCAAGACCTTTCAGAAGCATCAACATCGTCGAGATAAAATCATGCATCTAGTTATGTATCGTATTAATTTCTTAAATTTCACGTTAGTCTTAAAAAGGGTCTGTTAGACAAAAGGCTCAACTATCTTTATTTAAAAAAAATGAAATATTTTTATTCGATAATTTTTGAATATCGCGCCATCTGTACACAATATTTTTATTTTCTTCATTGTTTATTTCACGATAATCCGCGTATTACTGCCGCGTGACGTGTGAATGAATAAAGATTGCGTATGGCGGTGGGAAATCCATCGTCCTTTAATTAGTTAGGCTTAACAAATAGTTCGGGGTTTCGATCGCCCTTGTATCCGTCACGGTTACGCCCACCCCCAATTACCTCGTTACTTGGTAAATTGTAACATTTACGGCACCATCTGGGCAATCGTGTGAACACTGATCAGTATGTATTCTGTGAGGTCTACATTTCTCATGTTAATTTGAATTTCAGTAATTGAAGTAAAATTGATGCGACATTGTCTATATATGTTACATATGTGTTATTGTGAAACGAAATTTTTATTTTAACGAATTTAGCGATTCTATAATGTATTCTCGAATGAAGAGGATTATTACCCACGATGTACTCGACGATGAAGAGAATTGTCACCCACGATGTATACTCGCTTGGCCAAGCGTACCGGAAAGAGATCATATTTCATACCGATTCCGGCAGAAAAAAATATCAAACGCTACACAGGCACAAACCTTCGTTTAGCACCTGGATATCATATCGCAGCAGATGCCGCGGTGAAATTTACGATTATACGCGCTAATTGATTAGCAGGAATGTTCACTCTCATGAGATCTACGCAAGCACAATTGTTTCCGTGAGAACCACAGAAAATGTAGGAAGTAAAGAAGAAATAATGGGGAGCATTCTAAATAGAGATCCAATAATACGTATAACGACTAATTATTTATATTATTACACGGAAGGAACACTTTTGGCTGGCAAATCTAAAAATTTGACCAGATACAGATTTGAAAATAATTTTGTTGGCCCATCAAAATTATTTTGTAGAACGCTTAAATATGACGATAATACTGCAAAAATGTTTGCTCTTCTAACAATCAATTTGAACATCGTATATAATAATTTTGAAGGCCCAACAAAATCATTTTCAGATCTGTATCTAGCCAAATTTTTAGATTTGCAAAGGTGTTCTTTCCATGTATGAAATAAGAGATAGAGATAGAAAGAAAAAGAAAGAGAAAATTCAAAAAAAGTATTATTTATAACACACGATATATTTTCCGATAAATTTTTGTATTTTTTCAACCGATACTTTCTTACATCGAGCGACTTGTTCCTTTCAAAATGTTTCGAGTTTGTCAGGAAGGATACCTGGGTATCTTAGGAAGCGTCAGCTGTTCCAATCCCGTCCCTTTAAAATTTAAAGATCCTGTAAAGCCTATTATTCCTTGCGTCTCGTTTGAACTGAGTCGTTTTTACGACATTATGCGGATGTCCACATTACGAAAAAAGTCTTTAGTATTTCGTCCATTTCACGAAAATTTATGGAAAATGGATAAAAAGTCTCTTTGAAAAGCTTTTCATGGGAACGATAAATATTGCCTCTTTACTCTATCCTGATTACTATGCAAAATATTCAATAAATCAGATTTTTACATTATATAAACAATTCTGTATTTTATATAAAACAATATTCTGAAATAAATTCAAGAAAAGCTGTGTAGTAACACATAATTTCTTTCACATAACGAGAAAGAGTATGCAGATATATTTACAAAATTACCGATTTAATCATTCAAGAGATATACATTATAGGATATTTAAATTTGCTTTAGTGTTTTAATGATGTATGCAGTTGCCAATTGGCGAATTAACAATTATTATGCGCGATATTATCTTTCAGTCAATGCGAGAACAATGCGGGTACAAGATAAGTTACAAGATAAGTGTTGCTTGTGCTCCAAATTCAGTTCGATTTTTTTCCTTCGCGGACCGACTGGACATCCTGAAATCAATAAATCTCAAGGATCTGAAGAATTAGGTATCTGCCTGCCGAAAGGACCAGCCACGCGCGTGGCTTCTCTTCTTTCCGAGAAATAATTTGTGTTTCAACCGACGGAGACTTGAGCCGTTTTGTAATCTTTCGAAAATCACTCTGGTGACCTTTATTAATTCAAGAAACACACCTTCCCTCGTCACCTTCAAAATTAATCTGAAGTAAAAAAAAATTTCGAAATTGCTGTGTGCGAAATTACGCTTCTGTTACTTCTTTTTTTTTATTTAACAACGGTAAATAACGATATATTTGTAAATGATTTGTCCTGCATCGCAGTAAAAAATTTTTTAGCGATTTATACATTTCTCGATAATACAAATATTATTTTTTTTAAGAAACTTTCGTTCCTGCAGAAATGTTTAAACTGTTTAAATACAATTTACACGATCGAAGCCGTTCTCACAGATACGTGTTTTCCTTTCCTCTTGCGTACTTTCCTGTTGCGCGAGAGAACAGACACCTGTCACGGTTCAGTTGTTGTCACGCAGAGCAATGTGTAGTTTCGAGCAATTGCGTCGGACAAGTCAATCTGCCGTCTCGCGAGCAAAGATAAAAGAGGAAGAAAAAGGGACGGAGAACAGATACACCAACCGGAGGTTCCGGAGTTGCTAGGGCTCCTTTCTTCTCTCTCTCTCTCTCT